CCAGGCCAGGTAAGAACTGGCTCCACATTTTCATACTCTGCCTATGCAGCACACATCTCTCTCTTCCGTCCTCTCCACTATTCTGCCAACACCAAGTAAAGTTTGAACAGACCCAGGGACAACTTTATCCTATATTTTAATATATTCTAAAAGATCTAAGACCTATTTATGTTTGTTTAATTCAAGGATTTAGTATTCAAATGGTCAAACAGTAAAAGAATTTATCACCATGTTTAGAAAGACTTACATAGTTTTTTTCTGTTTGATTTTTAACTATTTTCTTTATTTGAACTTTTATATTTTAATCAATCTAAATTATATTTTGGTATATAGCATGAGATAAGATTCTAACTATACTTCTCCCCAGTTATTTTCACATTGCTTACTGAATATTTTATTTTCTCCCAATGACTCAAACTTAAATTTTTATAGATATGGTTAATCTTATTTTCATTTTTTCTGTTGAGCTATTGATTTCTCTTCCCATACCTAAACTATAGATGATCGTGGTTTTCCAATATGTTTTGTTATCTGGTAGTTCCAGTTCTTTCATTAATTTGTTCAGTATTCTTATCTATCCTTCCTTGTTCAAACTTCCAGATTAATTTTAAAATATATCTTTGTCAAGTTTAAAAAAAAGTCACACTAGGACTGTGCCCTACAAAAATTAAATTACGTTGAATTAATAATCCTTCTCATCAAGAAATACATCATATGCCTCTCCAGAAGCAATCACTTAAAATATAAAAGTTACTATCTCAGTTACTTCCATAATCACTGCATAATGACAAATGACAGGTCAGGCTGTAGTGATTCACTAGAAGTCAAAAGGAAAAAGTCAACACATTTACATAAATAATCTATTTAAAGCCATTTAAGGTAGGTTTCTCTTTCCTCCATACTTGCTGCAGCAGTTCTACTAAACAGTATTGAATAGTTTAAGCCTTCATTTGCTTTGACACCAAAATATGATGTGCACAGGTGCGCACACACACCCTGTCTCTCAGGGGATAAAGAGCCTGTGATTCAAGAGATCAGTATTCTAGACCTAGCTTGGGCACTATTAGCCTTGAAACCAAGGCCAGGGCACAGGGTTTCTTAGTGCCTTGGTTTCTGCACCTTGAAAAAGAGAGAGGGCAAATGAATTTAGACAAAATTAGGTGACTCTTATGCTCTTTTTCAGTGATGACAAGCTATAAATTCAACACACTTCCAATTATTTTTTGTTCTCTTTTGGGTTAGCTTTCTTAGCATTTGGGCTGGGTAACTGAAAGTTATTACCTTCTCTTCTCCTTTTAGGAACAGATAGACAGAGTGAACTAAAACAAGGTTCAGGTTATCAAAGCCAATGTAGCTGCTGCCATCAGGTCCCCAGGCACAAAAGTGCTGAACTGGTAAGCATTCCTTGTTACTCTCCCCAAATATAAGCCACTTTCTTCCCCACTCCAATTTTTCTAGCCCTTCCCACCCCCTAAAGTCCTTCCTATCTCTTCCTTATTGCTATTTCAAAACAATCTACCTTTTATTGAAAGTGATCAGGATATTATAGGAGAGATAGGAGTTAAGAGGAATCAAATTACTCTTACCAAAGAATAAATGTCTAGTATATTTAAACTTGCAAGGGTATATCCATGCTTTGAAAGAGAAGCTAATCAACTCAAATAACTTCAGAACAATATGTAATTCAATTTCAAAAGTGGGCTGAGATCATGACATTCTGTAGCTCATACGAGTTGTTAGGCACTGATCACTCAGAGGGTCCAGATCATAACCTTGGTCCCCTGTTGCTCAAAGACTAGTTCTCTCTGGCCAAGTGCTACAGGAAAACATGAACTGCTGGAACATCTGAGCACAGCACAACTCACAAGTATGTGTGCATACGTATGGGGAGGCAAAGGAATACAATTCTTCCATACAAACAAAATATGTAGTTATAACTTTTGTTTTTAAAATTTTTAAAGTTCAATAATTGTGCTTTCTTAGTAGGTCAATCAAGATTTTTAAAAGCAAGATTTCACAATGCACTGCTGTGACCCTAATATTAATTACATAAATCATTTTATTCTCTACATTGAGAGTGTCAGGTTCTTTCACTGTTTTGTACCTGGTTTGTTTTCCTATACAATTTTTTAATAACTTTACTGAGATGTAATTGATTTATCCCCAACCTGCTCTTCCCACTGGGCTGCCTCTCTGGCAGTGGCTAAATCTGGAGGGCAGCCCTCCTTCAGTGCTCCAACACAGTCCCTTCCATACTGCGGAACCACAGTCCCTTCTTAGTAGCTTCAGCAAAGAGTGAGTATGACATCCTCAGGATGACCATCCCTGGGTGCCTTACCATTACTGGTTACACAAATTTTTACACAAAAATTCCTTTCATTTTGTGCTTATTTCTGTTGCAGTCCTAACTGATATTCTTCCCCACCAAATCTCACTGTAATCAAGGGTACAGCCAGTACGAAACAGCTTGCTTAGCTTAAATTATACCTCTCTTTCAAACTCAGTTTCTCTCCCACATACAGATTGGAATATGAACCTCTTTAGAGCACATCAACAATAATTTAGTGATTTCCATTAATCCAGTAGTCTCAACCTACATTTCTAATTGTCCTAATGGAAGAAGGAGGTGTATTACCAATAGTGCTGTTGAACATCCTAAAGTGAGCACAACAGCCTCCCACAAGAAGCCGCTATTTAGTCCCAAATATCAATAATGCCAAGGTTGAGAGACTCTGGGGATTACTCATCACACAGAATGACCCTCCTTCACTCTGAAATATTCTCTCAGATGCCTATAATCATTGTTCCAAATTCAGGCCATTGGCAAAGTATGGGAAAGGATTGGGAGAGGGTGCCATTCTCAGATGGGGCCAGGGGCTGACCTAAATTCAAAGGTAAAGATATAAGCAACCCTTCACCAGAGATTTTTCTTCCCCAAAGTTGGCTATTTTGGGATCTATCAAGAAAAATAAAATGTCTACATGGAACAAAAGCCTGGAAATACAGATAATGCATCAAAATACTAGCAGTAATTATTATCTGAGTGATGGAATTTTTAATGACTTAGGATTGTTTTTTGCTTATCTAATAAAATATTGCTATAAAGATCAGTTAACATTTGTACATTCAATTTCTTTAAAAAGTCATAAATTATGGGCCTCCCTGGGGCACAAAGGATTAAGATGCAACCTATGAAGCTTCCGCTGCTACTGCAGCATAAGTTCCATCCCCGGCCAGGGAGCTACCCACATGGCACAGCAGACCTCTCCTGACTCACTCGCTGCTCCCCTCAGCAGTGTATTTCAGTAGTCTCTGGTGAATCCTCTCATCCCCCACAACTCTGGCCTGTACCCCAGTTCTTGTATGAGTAAATAAATCTTTTTTAAAAAAGTCCTTAATTATGCCATACTCACTAACTTCATCCATCAGACCCAATTCCTCAACTCAATAGTCTATTACACTTGTTGTAATAATGAAATGTATAAAAATTTGTCTTTACAGCTGATTATAGAAAATGTACTGCTTGTTGCAAGGTCATTAACATTTGAGGGAATGAGTGAATGAAGTTACTAGTATGCTTTACTTTCAAATGACAATTATTATGTAACTGACCACATTAACTTCCAGGAGTCAAATGTGAGAGTAGCCACTAGACACAAGCAGCTATTTAAGTTAATTAAATATAGAAGATTTCCATTATCATAGAAAGTTCTACTGGGCAGACTGACACACTTCATATCCCCTCCCATTTTCTCTGCTCCCAATATCTGGTTATGTTTATTTTCCATTTTTTTGCTACTATTCTATGATCTTGTTGTACACTATCTTTTTTTTTCCCAAAGATTTTATTTATTTATACAAGCACTGGGTACAGTCAGAAGCGCGGGAGGATGAGAGAATTCACCAGAGCCAGAGAGGAGGGCAGAACAGGCAGAAGGACCGAAGTACACTTCTGAGGGGAGCAGCGGGCGGCAGGAGAGGTCTGCGCGCCAAGTTGGACCCTCGCCGGTGGCCGGGGATCGAACCGGCGCTACAGAGGCTGCGGGCAGCTTCGCAACCCAGCGCTCAACCGCTGCGCCACTGGGGAGGCCCTGTACACTATCTTTTTTTTAAAAAAAAAATTATTTATTTCTACAAGAACTGGGGTACAGGCCAGATGCGCGGGAGGGTGAGAGGATTCACCAGAGACAGAGTGGGGAACAGACCAGGCAGACTGACAAAATACACTGCTGAGGGGAGCAGCAGGCGAGACAGGAGAGGTCTGCCAAGCCATGTGGGACCGTCGCCAGCCGGCCGGTATCGAACTGGCGCTGCAGAGGCTGTGGACAGCTTCACAGCGCGGCGCTCAACCGCCTGCGCCACCAGGGAGGCCCTGTACACTATCTTAATGACTTTGTGGAACAACTCAGGGTATCATTACCCAGAAATACCTCTCAGTGTGTGTGTGTTTATGTCTATATCTCTCTCTCACATTCGTATTGATGGGAGCTCAGCACTGTTTTATAGTGCACTTAACTCCTTTACCCACCCCCCCCAAAAGTCTATTAAATACTATTCCCCAGTTGTCAAAGAGGAAAGGAAAACCAGAATAGGTTCAGTGACTTGCCCAGGACTCACACCCCAGTACCTGCCTGAGCCCCAGCCCCTCCCGCACCCGGTTCCCAGGGCCCACTCTCCGCCGCAGCACGACTCCGGGCGCCGACGAGCGCTGGCCGGCTAATGCAGCCCTGAAAACGGAACTCGCAAACATTTCAAAAATTAAATGTAAATTTAATTTTTTTTAATGGTCTTTGTTTATTGAAAAAGCCCCCCCACAAAGGAGTGCGCGGCGACGCCAGGCCAGCTCCGTCTCCCGGCCACCGTCACTAGGCCCAGGTGGGGCGGGCGGGCGGCGTCGGGGCGCCGACGGGGCGCGCCCCGGTGTCCCGCGCTTCCTTGGCAAGCTCCGGGCGACGGTTTTATAACAGCCGCGCCCGACCCCGCCGCCCCGCGCCCCTTACCTGACGCCGGACACAAAGCTCGAGCTCAGCGCAGCCTCGGGCCGCCGAGCCGCCGCCTGCACCGCGAGCCCGGCGGAAGCTGGACTCGGATTGGCTGTTCAGCTGGACGCGGGGGGGGGGGGGGGGGCGGGGGCAGGAGCTGCTGGGGCCCGCCGCGCGGCCTTTTTCTGGGACCCGGGAGGTGAAGCCCCGGCGCAGCCGTCACGGGCAGGGACCCCGCAGGATTCACGGTGACTAGGCCTGGCCCGTGGCTGCAGCCGCGCGTGGGCTTGGACGCTCCCGCACGGGACGGGAGCCTCCCTCGGGTGTCTGCACAGGTTGCAATGGCAGCCCCCCTCTAGGATTCTATTCCCCGCGCTCGGAACCTCTGGGGCGGTTCTGGCCTAGTAACTTCCCCCCACCCCCCATCCCCCACCCCGCCCTGCCACTCATCAAACAGGCAGCAAAGCTTTTTGTAGTGGGAGAAATATAAGAGTGAGGCCGGAGGCAGGGGATTAAAGAATTCACCAGGGACGAAGTGGAGAACAGAAAAGGCGGACTTACTGAAGTATGCTGCAAAGCGAAGCAGAGGGGGAGACAGAAAAACAATCCATTGTATAGACCACAAATTGCTTACTCGTTCTTCAATTGACGGTCTGTGCACCAAGAAGGATTTGTGACTCCCTTTTATAACCCGTTTTGGTGGGCTTTATACTGGGGGGAGGAGGGGGTTGGAAGAGCCCCTCTCTGCGGATTATATGCTGGGACATCAGCTTTGGTTGGGCCCTGTTTGGCCACAATTCTGCACAATTCTTGATAGCCCCACCAAGGCCAGGTTTCTATGGCAGCTTTATCAATTCCCCCTTATCTAGTTTGTGTCTCCCAGTGTTACTCAGCTAAGTAAAGTGCATTAGACTAAATTTTAATTTTATTAAATGATACCCTGACACTTTTGTTTTTTTCTGACTTGTGGTAAAATACACATTACAAACAACTATCTTAACCATTTTTAAGTGTACAATTCAGTAGTAGCAAATAGATTTATATTGTGCAACCATCACCAGTTTGCTTCTCCATAATTCATTTATTCTTGTAAAAATGAAACTGTGCTCATTAAACAGTAACTACCCATCATCTACTATTCTTAACCCCTAGCAAACACCATTTTATAGCTTCTATCTTTAAGATCTGAGTACTCTAAGTTCCTCATATAAGTGGAATCATGCAGTATTTTTTCTGACATGTTTAATTTAGAATAATGACCTCAAGATTCCACCATGTTGCAATATATTGCAGAGTTTCCTTCCTTTTAAAGGCAGAACAACAATCCATTGTATAGACCACGTTTTGCACGTTTTGCTTACTCTTTCTTCAATTGACAGACGCTTGAGTTGCTTCCAAGGTTTAGCAATTGTGAATAATGCTGCTATAAGCACAGCTATACAAATATCTTAGAGAAGCTGCTTTTGGTTCTTCGGCACATACCCAGAAGTGGAATTGCTGAATCATATGGTAATTCTAATTTTAATTATCTGGGAACCATCATTCTCTTTTCCATGATAACTATACTATTTCACATTCTCACCAACAATACTACACAAGGGGTTCCTGTTTCTCCCTGCCCTTGCAAGTATTTGTATTTTATTTTCTTGATAGTTGCCATTAAATAAAGGTGAGGCCGAATCTCATTCTGGTATTGTTGCATGGTGTCAGCAAGTTCTTGTCTCATGCCATGAAAATTGAGGACATGGATGGCGACAAGTGAGTTTAAGAGAGTTTATTCAACAATAGGAAAGTTGAAAGCTCCCTGTAATGACAGGGAGAAGGGACATCAGTAGGTACCCCGAAATGCTCATTTCTAGGATCTTTCATTCTAAATATAGCTTACTAAGAGGCCTCTATCTGAATACACATGGGATGGGGGTGGAGTTCATAGCTTGCTAAAGATTAACACAGAGGCGCACAGGCAGCTAAAAAAAACACAGCTAGCTCTCTAGAAATTAACACTCACAGCCCAAAATGCAGGGTCATCACCTCCTCCCTCCTGCTCCTCTTCTTATCAAGCTTTTTTTTTTTTTTTTTTGGCAGACTCCTGCTCACAGACTTAAGGCCTGTAAATTTCCATTCTTTTATAATTTTTCTTCTGTCACTTTTATTCTTCAAAGGGCCTCTACCCTGTCTATCTAACCAAAATCTGCTTGGTATTGATTTGCATTTTGGCTAGTGATTGGTGATTTTAGGCATCTTTTCATGTGCTTATTAGTTATTTGTGTCTTTTCTTTGGAGAAGTATTTATCTAAGTCTTTTGCCTATTTTTGACTGTTTGGCTTTTTGTTGTTGAATTTTAAAAGTGGTAAAAATGGGCATCCTTGCCCTAATCCTGATCTTAGAAGAAAGTTTTCAGTCCTTCTCCACTAATTATGATATTCACTGTGAAATTTTCATGTGTGTCCTTTATTACGTCTTTTTTTTTTTTAATAAATTTTATTGTTATATTCCCCATACAATTGCAACCCCCCCATTCTGACCCCAATCCCTCCCCTCCCACCCCCGCCCCCCTAAAAGTGTCTCTGGTTCATAGTTTTTTGTTGATTTTGATTTTCACTTTCTTATAGTTATTCATTTTCCTGGTCCCTTATTTAAGTTTTCTAGATTCCTGTTATGAGTGAGACCATCCGGTATTTTTCTTTTTCTTTTTGGCTTATTTCGCTGAGCATGATCCCTTCCAGCGCCATCCATGTTGCTGCAAATTGCATGTGTTTATCTTTTTTGAATGCTGAGTAATATTCCATGGTATATATGTACCACATCTTCTTGATCCAGTCATCTATTTTTGGGCATTTGGGTTGTTTCCAAAGCTTAGCTATTGTAAACAGTGCTGCTATAAACATAGGGGTGCAGGTGTTCTTTGGAATTGATGTTTCTGTGTCCTTTGGGTAAATACCTAGGAGTGGAATTGCTGGATCATATGGAAGCTCTATGTTTAGTAGGTCCAGAAATCTCCATACAGCTTTCCACAGTGGTTGGACCAGTTTGCACTCCCACCAACAGTGCAGAAGAGTTCCTTTTTCTCCACACCCTCGCCAACATTTGTTGTTGCTAGTTTTTTTAATATGTGCCATTCTCACTGGTGTAAGATGGTATCTCATGGTAGTTTTGATTTGCATTTCCCTGATGACAAGTGATGTTGAACATTTTTTCATATGCCTGTTGGCCATTTGCATTTCCTCTTCAGAGAAGTTTCTTTTAAGCTCTTCTGCCCATTTTTTGACTGGATTATTTTCTTTGTTGTTGTTGAGTCTCATCAGCTCTTTGCAGATTTTTGTGATCAGTCCTTTATCATTAGTGTTGGGTGCAAAAATGTTCTCCCAGTTGGTGGGGTTTCTCTTTGTTTTTGTTATTGTCTCTTTTGCTGTGCAAAAGCTCTTTAATTTGATGTAGTCCCAGCTGTTTATCTTTGCCTTCACTATCACTGCTTTGGGTGATGTGTCTGTAAAGATGTCTTTGATGTGCAAATCACGTAGTGTTTCGCCTATATTTCCTTCTATATATTTTATGGTTTCAGGTCTTATGTCTAGTTCTTTAATCCATTTTGAGTTGATTTTTGTGTATGGTGTGAGGTGGTGGTCAAGCTTCATTCTTTTGCATGTAGCGACCCAGTTTTCCCAGCACCATTTATTGAACAAACTTTCTTTGCTCCAATGCATAGTCTTTGCTCCTTTGTCAAAGATTAGTTGACCATAAATCTGTGGGTTTATTTCTGGATTTTCTATTCGATTCCATTGGTCTGTATGTCTGTTCTTGTTCCAATACCATGCAGTTTTGATGATTATGGCTTTGTAGTATAGTTTGAAGTCTGGGAGTGTGATGCCTCCATTCCCTTCTTTTTTTTTCAGGAGAGCTTTGGCTATTCGGGGTTTTTTGTGATTCCATATGAATTTCATCAATAATTGTTCTATTTCTTTGAAGAATGACATTGAAATTTTGATTGGAATAGCATTGAATCTGTAGATTGCTTTTGGTAGGATGGCCATTTTAATAATGTTTATTCTTCCAATCCATGAGCAGGGGATGTCTCTCCATTTCTTTGTGTCTTCTTCTATTTCTTTTAACAGTGTTTTATAGTTTTCTTTGTATAGGTCCTTTACCTCTTTTGTTAGATTTATTCCCAAATATTTGATTTTTTTGTTTCAATAACAAAAGGGATGGTCTTTTTGATTTCTTCTTCTTCAGATTTATTGTTTGTGTATAGGAAGGCTACTGACTTTTGCGTGTTGATTTTGTATCCTGCCACTTTACTGAACTGATTGATGAGTTGAATTAGCTTTTCTGTGGAGTTTTTGGGTTCTCTATGTATAATATCATATCGTCTGCAAATAGTGATAGTTTGACTTCTTCTTTTCCTATTTGGATTCCTTGGATGTCTTTCTCTTGTCTTATTGCCCTGGCTAGGACTTCCAGTATTATATTGAAAAGCAATGGTGAGAGTGGACATCCTTGTCTTGTTCCAGATCTTAATGGAATTGCTTTCAGCTTTTCACCATTGAGAATGATACTGGCTGTTGGCTTGTCATAGATGGCCTTTATGATGTTGAGGTATGTTCCTTGTATCCCCAGAATTTCAAGGGCTTTTATCATGAATGGGTGTTGCACTTTATCGAAAGCTTTCTCAGCATCTATTGATATTATCATATGGTTTTTATATTTCTTTTTGTTGATGTGTTGGATAACGTTGATTGATTTTCGGATGTTAAACCATCCTTGTGCCCCTGGAATGAATCCAACTTGGTCGTGGTGAATTATCTTATGGATACATTGTTGGATTCTGATAGCTAAAATTTTATTGAGGATTTTTGCATCAGTGTTCATTAGGGAGATTGGCCTGTAGTTTTCCTTTTTTGTGTTGTCCTTGTTCGGTTTTGGTATTAGTGTAATGTTGGCTTCATAAAACGTGTTTGGTATTGTCCCTTCCTTCTCAATTTTTTGGAAGAGTTTGTGAAGGATAGGCACTAATTCGTCTCTGAATGTTTGGTAGAATTCATTTGTAAATCCATCAGGTCCTGGGCTTTTGTTTTTGGGGAGGTTTTTTATTAC